TTTCCCTAGTGGTGGAGCATAGTTAAAGCTGTATTGCCATTGTAACAGAAGAGACTTAGGCGGGAGCCCTGTTACTGAGTCAGGCCAGACAGGATGACCTGACAGTTCACCCCACCAGGTGATTTTTTTTTTTTTTTTAAATCACACCGGGGTGAAGGCTGGGTGATTAGCCTGCCATGGCCAGGGATAAATTCAGCGGTGGGGCATAGGCATTTTGCCTTAGGGCACCAGAAGACTTACATAAGGCAACCAAAACTCAGAAAAGAGAAGTGCAAGGAGCCGGACTCATGACTGCAGCATACTGGGACCACAGGATGCTGGATGGTGGAGGATCGGCAACGGGACTAGGTACTTACCTGGAAACAGCGGTGGCTCTGGTGAGTCCAGGGAAGAGCTGTGGCTCTTTGAACTGCCTTGGTGGGAAGCTGGGAGAGAAGTAGAGGTCCCTGAGGCTGGAGGTGGCTAGCAGAGCTAGACTAAGCCCCTACTTGGCGGGATAAAATGGCTGCCTCGAGTGTAGCAGCAAGGGAGCAGCTGGGGCCACTCCCGGCACAAGGCATAAACGGCAGACGGAGAACGTGCTGTGCTAATGAGGCAATTAGCGACCAGGACTCTAATGATTATAATGCATCTTTGAGGGATCCGGCACCGGTACCCTTATCAGCAGCCTGGACTTCCCTCACTAGTAAAGTAACTAGCAAGGCTCTTGCTGTTCACCAAATCTCCTGTTGGGCAATAAAGCTAAAGTGTGAGGAAATCATTACCTGGGTGACTCTACTAATTTTGTGTGGGGCAATATAACTGAATCCCTCTTGTTATCTTTCAATCTAAGTCATGGCAGGAGAGTGTAAAGGAAGACAGAATTGGCAATCGCAACCTGTTCACAGACACTTACAGGTTTCCTTTGATTTATGCAAGTTCTTTATAGGTGAATTTACTTTTGTGCAGTGAGCATATTTAGACCTATAATTCATTATATACAAGGTAAACTTGCTCTTATGCAATCAACATAGATGCCTCCCTGCCCAAGCAGGTAAGTCTGTGTGGGGAGGGGGCAGAAAGGGCTGTGGCTCCACTCATCCCAGCCCTGGCTGCAGCTGCTGGGCTGCATGGTGCTCTGCCTGTCCCCTTGTGCCTGGGATCACCCCAGCTCCTGGGCTGCGCCGTGCCATGATGCTGGCACTGGCTGCTCCCAGGGCTGCTGGGGCTGGGGTGAGTGCTGCTCTGTTCCCTCTGCTTTGCTGCCTTGTTCAGCCCCATGAGTGGCATCCCTCCCTCTGCCTCTTTCTTAGTCCTAGCTTCCATCCCTCCCCCACTACCATGGGAACCTATCCCTATTTGTTACATTGTAAAGTGGGTTCATTTTATGCAAATTTGATTTATGCGCTGTTCCCCGGGAACCCATGTACCGCATAAATCAAGGGAAACCTGTATTGTTATGGGAAGAGGAGTGTGATCAGAGGGAAAGCAACCTGGGTTATGGGGGAGAAACTGTTTTAAAGTGTTTATAGCCAGGTGAATGTAATCACTGAGGTTGTTTGATACAAGCGGGACCACCCAGTGTGGTGGAATTATTCATCTACTGCTGCAGTTGTAAATTCTATTCAAATTGTTGGTTTTTATTATTAGCTATGTATGTACGTCGTATGTATGTACGTACGTACGTACGTACGTACTCTTGATTAATCCTTTCTTTTTTGTATATAGTTGTGTATAATAAAGCCATTTGCTTATTGGACTTAAAGTAAATTCTTGGGTAGTGAGGTTGAGGAACACACCTCTCCAAGGGACACCTCAGTCAGCAGGCCTGCTTGAGTGAGTTCCCAGGGCTACTGGCACCCTGAGGATCCAGAATCTGGCATATTGCCTGGCCTAGCATGCTGGGAAGAGATACATATGCATTGCCCTGGCATCTCAAATGTCCCCTGGTTCCAGTCTAGGTTATCCCACTGCTTAGCCCTATCCCATTGTGCCTGAATCTGTGGTCCCCGACAGTACTATCTTACACCAGTGAAAATTAGTTTGCTGCAATCTAACAGTGTTGCACATGTAGACTGTGTTGCTTTACACCACAGCAAATTAGTCTACTGCACAGTCAAGTGGATGTGTAGATGCACCCACTGTGAATTACTTTTGATACTTTGGTTGGGTATTTGGAAAATGCGTATCTATGGATCATTGGTAAATTGTTGGTGGCAGGGCTGGTGTCACCTCTCTAACACTTTAATGCTTTCATGTTAGATACCATATGGGACTTCGCAACTGAGGAGGAAGAAGTTATCTCCATTCTCTATTTTTTGTTGGAGAGAAATGACTGGTGCTATTGCAGTGCTTTACTGGCTACTCCACCTATGTCACAGATTAGTAAGCAGCCTCTTCCACCTGACAACATGGGGAGATGTAGAGAACTTGAGCAGTGTAAATAGTGAGATGAAGCCATCATTTATTGCTCTGCAGAAAGCATCTTTACTACAGTTATAGCTGTCTCAGCTCTTTGCCCCATGAAACTAATTATAAAGCATAAAGGGTGTTGCCAGAAGTTGCATGATTCTGGTGATATAGCTGTTGTTTATGCATTCTCATCCATAAGTAATCATCCTTAGAAGAAAAAAAGTGTTTTCATGTCTCTTGCTTCTGAAGAAGGAATGCAGTAGAAATATAGAAAACATTTCTTAAACTACAAAATACCTTTAGTCTTCAGAGGAAGTTTTTCTCTGAGACCTGGTATTCTCTGAAACTATCAAGCCATCCAAAATAATGTACTTCTTATGTAAGTCAGTAACCTGTGGTTATTGACTATAGTTGTCCTCTCTGCCAGACTAGCTTCAGCTTGACACCTTCCATATCAAAAGCACGAGGGCCTGAGACTTGGAATGATTTTGATCAAAAGTAGGACCTCCTCAGAGAAGACAAGTTTATATGTGTACTAGATGTTGTTTTATGGATACTCTTGCTTTAGTAGGGGTAATTTTTTTTTCGTAAAGTGTTCTGGGTAGTACTGAATAGGTAGTTTCCTTTCCTATTCCTATTGCTAGTCAAGCTTCATTCTGTCCTACATTGATAGATTTTAGGAAGAAATATATTTTATGTTAAATATCTTGTTTAAATGTTGGATTAATTATATGGACACTGCTCTCTTGCTTGTAGTTGACTCATTCCTGGGGTTCTATTACCATACAATAAATAATGATAGGGCTTTTCCTTTACAGAAAAAGAAGGAAAAAGTGAAGTTCTAATATTTTATTGCATTAAGAAGCATAGGTATACATTTTGTAATTCACTGAAGTGTATGGCTACAAAAATAAACAACATTCCATTAAGAAAAGACTGTTTATCTCATGTATTTAAATTAGTGCATTTTGTGTTTTATGTCCAGTAAAAGAATACACAGAAAAATTAATTGTATCTACATGTATTAAGAATAAAAGTCTGCAATGATTTAAATTAAGGTTTAATAACTTGGTATCAATTTATTTTTTTATAGCTAATTTTTTTTGTCTTCATTTTTTTTAGAATGCTATCAAGGGTGGCAAGAGTCCACAAAACAAAGAAAAACGTTTCAAGAAGATCATCACAGACACTCCAGGACCTGGAAGCTATAACCAAGCTCCTTCTATGGATTTTGCAATAAGCAACAAGGAAAAAGATCTTAAAGAACGGGGCCAACTGGTACACTAATAGTAAAAGGATTGCATAATAATAATGCCTTTTCTTAAACTTTTTCATTGTTCACTGAAATAAGAAGATTACAGAAGTTTTCAAAAGATAGTCTTAGTTAGCCTGAGATTCATGTGCAGAAAAAACATACAGTTGTACAACTACATTTGTGCTCGTAGTCATCATAAACCTGGTGATGGGAAGATGAACGACTGTGGGGAAAAATTATAAAAATGAAGCAAAAGAAAAAACAACTACTGTATCTTACTTCAAATAAGATACTTTTATTATAAAATACACTTTATGCACTGATATTTTAAATAAATTGGAAATATAATAGATGGAAAAACAATTTTGTGCTTGTAGTTGTGATGGCTAATGGTTAAAACATGTCACTGAGATTCAGAGTCTATTCATGGCTGCATGCAGGCATTGTTTCTACCATAAGAATTGCCTCTCTTCTGGTAGAAGGTAGGACTGTATAAGTGTTCATTTAGTTTCTTCTAGAATCTAGAGAAAACATGCCTCCTCTAAGAGGAAGATCTTCCAGGTTGACACTCAGAAGATCTCCCTTAAAATAGAGGTGGTTGTTTTTTGTTTTTGTTTTTGTTTTTTTTTTTCTTCCAAGAATGAATGCTTGTATGCTTCTGCTTGACTCCTTTGTGATCAGAGGAATTGTTACAGCAACTATTTGGAATTGTGCCCTTCCCTGACAGGAACTCCAGTCTGAGGAAGATTGAGAGGACATTTGCCTGTAATGTGTCAGGTCACAGGAAACCCAAGAGCTCTCCCAGGATGGCATTTAAATGTGCCTTGCTTTGTAGCCCCTGTGGAACTGTAGGGCAAAGCCAGAGAGGAGGCCAGGCACAGGGGTTGTAAGGTTTCCAGCCCTTCAGTATCCCTTTGCATCTTGCAACTTGCTTGCCTGGCAGCCCATTTTTAATACTGAGACTGGGATACAAGTGGGAAGCACTGCCCCACTTCCCTCCTCCTTTTAGTTCAGTGCATGGAAGGAGATTGGAGTGTCAGGGAAAGACACATTTCCCAGACTGGGGAGACTTTTCACTCTGCTCCACTCCCTTCTGGGAATGGAAGGAGTGGAATAGCCACTGGCCCCACTTGCCTCCCCCCAGCTGGGATCATCCCGGTCTGACCAGTGGAGAGGGGGTACCTGCAGGCTGAATGCTTGTACTGCTTACTTTCCTGGAAAGATTTCTAGTGGTGGATATTTCTCAGAAATTTCCACTACTAGAAATGAATGCCTCTTCATACCTCATAACTCTGCCACTGCTGTGTAATTGTGGCAATTTGTTTATGGTCTGTTTCCCAGTTTGTAAGAGGAGTCCCTGCTCTGTGTGTATTGACACTTACCTAACGGAAGGGATAATAACTTTGATCTTAGAAGAAAAGAAACAAAAATTGAAAAGTCTAATTATATATTATCTACCATATCTGTGACTACTTGTTAAAGGTGCGATGTTTAAAAATACGTTTTGTTTAGAGACTTCCTATCTTTATTTCATTTTGGAAAGGTAGGCAAAGAATTAACTGTAAACAGAAACAAATGTGGCTGAATCATAACTGGAGAGTAAAGATGGAATTGTGTGTAAAAAAGAAATTTAGGTCAAACTACTAAGGATTGAGGGGACAAAATCAGAAAGACCAAGGCATACAACAAAAGAAAGTAGCAAGGAATATAAAGGGTAACAAGAAAATATTCTGTAAATTCATTAGTACTAAGAGAAAGATCAAGGAAATAGTTAATACATTGGTCAATAGGAAAGGGCAGCTAATATTAAATAATGCTAAGAGGGCCAACTTATTTAATTGCTTTTTTTACTTCAGTTTTGCACAGAGAAATGAATCTCGGTTTATAAATACTCTGCCAATTTGTGTAAGTGTGAAGTATTGTACTGTTATGCTTCTGTGCATTTGCCATTTATAAGATTATGATCCACATGGGATTATTTAATGGTTCCTCAATATTCTGGGCTTGGTTACAAATGTGTACCTCATGACAAAAGTGAAAAAACAATCAAGATAACCTTTTTATTAAAGTGTCGGGATATATCTTTTATTTTTGGTATGCTCAGCTTCTATTTAAGTCCTGTTCTTTGTTTTTATAGAGAACTGCAGGGAGTATAAAAATCTACCGAAAATTGGATAGTCCTTCTATTCCTTCTCCAGGTCAAGCCTTTGGGTATGAGGAAATAGAGGATGGCACTCTTATAAAACAATACCCACCTGAAAGAGACTTAACACTGGGCCCAGCTTATTATCACCCAGTATTTGTAAGTAATTTTAAAACAACTTTGTATGTCTGAACATAGGTTTACAGAGTAATTAAGCATTCTTCTTTAACACTTACTCTTTGAGAAATATTGAATAACACGAATACTCTTATGTGTGGATACAGAAGCAAAAATTCACGTGTCATTTGTACAGTTGCACTGAAGTCAGTGAATTGGCTCAAAGAGTGGGAAGCAGTATAGATGTAAAAGGTAACTTGCTGCCTTTTTCTACGCAGTCAGAAATGGAACTACTTTGGATGCCACTGTGTTCTACAAGCAGAGTATAGAAGCTTACTTAAGTAGGAATAAGTTTGTAAGCTGGATGAACCCTCCTCTGGTAGCCACACAAGTTTCCGTATAATATATTTTTTCATTTAAAATAAATTCAGTTTCTTGCTCTTTTGGTGGCCGTTATAACTCTCTGAATACTAAACAAAGCAATATGAGTCTGCAGGTGGGTTGAAGGAACAGGTCTAAGGGATGTGAATTGTCTCATTCTTCCAAATGGGATGTTTACTCAGAAGCCTAAGACATCAAGTTGTGACTATTTTAGTGCTGGGGATAGTAGATGATGGCACCAATTTAAAATATTTCTATTTCAAGTAATGAATTTTTGTCAGTTGATTGCGTTACCTGATTTTCTTTACTTTTATAAAATTTCAGAGGTATATTTGCCTATCCTTTTCTTGTTTGTCATTTTGTTTTGGAGCATAATAGTCACATTCCCCTGACCTTCAGAAAAGAATTGAAATTCAGGTTTAGTGATATAGGTTTTGTTAGATTTTTCTAAAATTTCAAAGGTGATCCAGTTTAATAGCCTCAGATTTTTTTCTCTTAAGTTTTCTCATCTTTCTTGTCATTTTAGCAAGAATCCCTATAGCAGAGGATACTTGTTTTGACATTTTTGTCTTCATTTAAAGCAATATGATTTTTCACTCCCCATTTTGCAGTTTCTCTGCAAGGGGTTGATTTTTGCAATGTGTTAAGAACTTTGGCCCTAATCCAGCAAAGCACTTAAGTGCATGTGAAATTTTATGTATCTGAATACTACTGTTGACTTACAGTACTTACAGTTTTGTATGCACTTAACTGTGTTACTTGGCCAGGGGTCGAAGTGCTCAGCCGCTTTCAGGATTACCTCCTAAATTTAGAGACAGCAGTGCATGTACTTATCATTTGAGGCTGCCTTTTCTCAAGTGATTTAATAATGTGTAACATTTTATGGAGAGACATATAAGGAAAGTCTTATCTGTAATCCAGTCCTGCCTGATTTTTAAATTCCTTATGTCCTAGGGATCTGGAGATAGAAATAGAGGAACACCCTTGGTGTTGTACTTCCTGAACCATAGGAGCTTTGATAGCTGTCTTGTATTTTCAGGGTTTAACTACATTGTGTCATGCTTTGTAAAAAGAATAAAAAATCACTATAAAAATAAAACATTAAGTTCTTTTGATAAACTTTGGAAACTTTAAATTGGGGCTGGCCAACTGGTAGTCCTTGGGCTGCTTGTAGCTTGTCAAGGGTAAAATTGCGGCTCCTAGGTTCCCACCTTGCTGCCGTTCCACCCATTGCTCTGCTCTGGCTGCAGCAGCAGCTAAAGGCTCTAGGCTCCCCCTCCCTCCAGCTTCCCTTTCTCTACCTATTCTCTTGTCCTGGGGGTAGGATGGAGCAACATGACGTAGCTTTTATGGTGGGGGAGCCTGAAGCCCCAGGGGGTTTCTGAATGGCACAGTGCAGTGGAATTCACTTCTGGGGAGTTAGGGTGAGCCAAGGTGCATGGTGCAGTGGGGGTTGGGAGTGGGTATAGGGAGTAACAGTGGGGTGACTCATAGTGCAGTGGGGCAGTGCAGAGTCCAGTGGTGGTGTGCCTGGGCAAAAGATGCAGTGGGGCTGGGCACTCAGATGCCTGGTATATTTGGGGGGCACCTTGGCACCTGGTGCAGTAGGGAGGTGTTCTGCATGTGATGCAGTGGGGGACATATGGTGCAGCAGCAGGGGCACTTGGGTTCAATGTGGGAAGGTCACGGATACAGCAGTGGGGGACATGGAGTGCAATGGGAGGGGGCACTCCTGCCTGCCCCCCCTGCCTGTCGCCTAAGCGGGGAGCGTGGTCTGTCAGGGGGTGCACCAGTCCTTTCAGGGGGTACACGTGCAGCCCCTGCCCCCAAAAGTATTTTCTATCTGAAGTATCTCTAAAAACAAAAAGTTCTCTATAAAGTCTAAATACCAGTTTAAGACACTTCTTCCTTGTAACCTTAATTTTTGTCACCTGTGTGCTCACTGGAATTAAAAATAGGCCTTTTTGCTATGGCATAATTAACAAGTGCTAGCTGTTGGCCTGAATTTAACTTGGGCAAATGCAGCTACCTAATGACCAACCATGGCACGTCTGTTTGATAGCAGAAGGCTTTTATTGATACACAATAATAGTAAATGGTAAGTGAAGCGAGCAAGCAGTTAAGCAAATCTCATCATCCACCAGCTTTAGGGCTCTAGTAGGATTAATGGGCATTTGACCAGGAATGTTGCTGTCTTTTGTAGGTTCAGGAAGTTTTCAGAGGATCAGCCCTCCCAGCCTATACCCACTGTTATAAACAGCTGCTAAACTTAATATTCTAACAAATGATCCCAGATTGAAACAAAGACACTTAAAACCACTGAAATTTCCAGAGTGAGATTAAACTAGACTTTTTATGGGCCAAGATAGTGCCAGTTAGTTAAAGCTTATAGTTTTTGAGAAAGTAACAGGACAATAGGGACTGTTTATCTCTCTTCTTCCCATGGTAATATGCTGTTCTAGCCCTGGATAACAAGACTGCTTTTTTCTTACTGGTTGTGTCCAATTAGACAGATGGACAGTTTTTTTTTTTTTTTTTCTTTGTTCTACTGACCAAGTCAGCCACAGCACTGCAAGTGCCCATGTTATGGTACATCAGTAAAGGACAGACTTCAGGCCTGCTACTCTGCCATTTAGCCCATAGGCCCTTTGAAAATGTCCAAGTCTTGCAGCATCATACCCAGGGCTCATGTCACACAGGCCTACGTACAGCCTACAAACCCTTCTTTAACAGTTGACTTTTAAAAAATCAGACCGTTTCTATCTTATGGCACAGGTCTGGCACTGAGTGCTGCAGGCTCCACTTCTCTATGCCCAGTGGGTTGCAACCATTAGCAGAGACTGATCTCTTTAGTGGCTGTCTTTTTGTCACTTCAACCCAGGCTTGTCTCAGTTAACGTTTTCCACACAGGAGGGCTTTCAGCTTTCATTATGGCTTGCCTGGTCATTAGAGCATTACAGGTGACTATATGAGTGACACATATGACATAGCATTGTGAGCATAACTCCAACTAATAACAGTAAATTAAAAACTACTAACCTTAAACTATAATAGATATGACTTTACCTTATTACATAATGGTACCATGCACTGCTGTTATGTGACCCATGTCAAAAGAGAGGTTGAGCTGCCAGTCTGAAAAAGACTCATTCTATAACCCCGATTTGATTTCTCCATCTCCAGACTGTCAAGCACAAAAGTATTATCGAAATTACAGCCACCATTAGAATACTAAAATAACCCCAATGGGATGTGTCATCAGATTTAGCAGACCCATTGTAGATGGAGACTATCCAAACAATACCTCCCACCAGTGATGCTCCCCTACTACCTTGACTTTCTCAAGTATAGAAACAATGTTTTTGCTATTGTGCTGTGCCAAAAGTATTATCTTGCAGGCATGTTCAGCATTCTTGGTTAACAATTTCTGCAAATCTAATGTTTTAGCAGCTGCTGTAGCAAATGCAGATCCATTCCTATAGGGTTAGGGGCAATATTAGCATGTAAGGTAACATTATACAACAACAAATGGACAGTAGGTGCTGGAGTAGGAAAGTTAAAATCACAGACATACATTCACATTACAGTGCATGCACAAAAGCTGCTATTAGTAAGAGATACAGAATAAATACATTTTTCATTAATAACTACATACTATATGTATAGAAACACATCCTTGGCCTGTGTAAATGGGGGCCAACAGCTGCAGACTTCATCTTCACAGTGTACTTGTAAGTCAGCGTTACATTATACAGAGATGCACATTGCTTGTGTTGGTACTATCTTTTTACATCATATGCTTGTTGATGCCAGCCTTGGCCTTGAAGCAGTGATTTCCGCTACCACTTGTGTTTGGATTGTGCCAAACAATCTTACTGCTCCTACCCTCATCAGGAGGATTCGCATCTTGTCCTGACTGTTATTTCTGTAAGACAAAGAGAAGAGCTCATTGCCCCAGGACTGAGCTTTTAATGTCTTTTAATTGCAAAGATTTAAACCATGTAAATATAGGTTGGTTTTGCCACATTTCTTCCTCTTCAGCTCTCTTCTGTTAATGAGCATTAATTTTTACTAACTTTACATGTTCTTGTTTTTCTTGGGCTAACTGCCAAACTTGCATTAATTTGCTAGTATGTATGACTTTTTTTTTTTTTTTACCACTGGTATTTGTACTTCATGTTTTTCACACAGGCAGACAGTCTATAAGGACTCTGATAGCCCAGTCTGAATCTGGGAAAATGGTCTCATTGTCTTTTACAGTTTTTTGCAATGATACAACTGCTGCCCATGCTGAACGTAGAACACATTTATCACTTCAAATTTTCTCATTCTTTTTTTTACAGTGATTGCTGCATAACCTGTAAAGGGCTTTCCCTTTTTATAACAACTTGATTTATTAACAAACCGTATTCACCCACATTATTCTTTTACTTTTTCAAATGGCTCCCTTCTTTCAAACAATTTTTTATTTTAACAACCTATACAATGGGGCATCCTTTTCTTCATAATCCTTATGGATAAGATTTATTCTTTACTGGTTGGGACTTTTTTTTTTCCTTTTGTTAAAGAAGGCTTTTAAGAAAGAGCTCTTTCTGTTTACATTGCACTTTGAGTTTATATAAGTACTTTTTGATTTAACAAACTGTGAATTGTTATTGCTA